TTTATTAACTGACAGTCAATTTGGCTACCGAGCTAAGCGAAGTACTGAGTTGCAATGTTTATTGTTTACTAAGTTTGCAGAAGATTTTATTGAGCATGGGTATGAGGTCGATGCGCTTTTCTTTGATTGTTCGAAAGCATTCGATAAAGTTGACCATTCCTCAATAATCCAAACGCTGCGATCGTTCGGTGTTCCAAACAGCATAATAAATATTTTAGACAGCTATCTGAAAGAGCGTCGGCAGATTGTTGTTGTTAGTAATACTTTTTCTGAGTGTGGAATAGTTACCAGTGGCGTACCACAAGGCTCCATTCTAGGTCCAATTCTCTTCCTTTGCGTTATTAACATATTGGCAAGTGTTTTACGCAATAATAGCAAAATTTTTATGTTTGCGGATGACGTATTTTTGTGCAGGGCAATTATTGCACACGATGACTGTTCAAAATTCCAGGACGATGTGACCTCCCTTTTCGAAGCCGCACGGAGTCAGCGTTTAACTTTTAATCCCAAAAAATCTGTTCACATGAGGTTTTCAAAAAAACGTAGTCTGAGTAACGTGCCTAAGTACTACCTCGACAGCGTTGAAATCGAACATCATATGGTGTCGAAATACCTGGGTGTTTATGTAGACCGCAAATTGCGATGGAATGAGCATACCGACAGTATATGTGTAAAAATCAGGAAACGCATAGGGTACATATTTTCTCTTTTCGGGCGTTACGATTCAGCAGCACTAATTTGTCTGTTTAAAGCTCTTGTTCTTCCGCTTTTTGACTACTGCAGTCCAGTGGTACGGCCTCATTCAAAAGTCAGCAGAGATGCGCTTGAAAAGTGTGTATCAAAATTTTTGAAGGGGTTACGACTAGGCAGTGCGCGTGAAGATTATCACGGTCGTTTACGAGAGTGTGGGTGGGATTCTGTAGAGTTGAGGCGTGTGAAACATTCTCTGATCATGACATACAAATTATGGTTTGGAGCTGTACCTTTTGGTGATTGTTTCTACGTGCGGTATGAACCCGTTACTGCCGCTGATTCTATTGCAGGAAATACACGACATGCTGATCGCATGTCCCGTCATCCGTACCCGATTGAACCAGCAAAAACGACCTTCTGTGGAACAACTGTTGCTGCAAGCGAAGAATCGTTCGCAAGTTGGACTGCCAAACTGTGGAACGAACTGGACTTGGATGCATCAGCTTATCGCTCTGTGCTGACCTTTCAGAAAACCCTCGACGAAGTTCAGTGGAAAGACGTTCAGTGGATCAGAGATAATTTTTCAAAAGAGTTTTTTTCGTGACTTAATACAGATTTTGTCGTAGCTTTGATATGCACAATGTTTTACTTGTACTTTTGCGTACCGGTTAATATTGTTTTCAGCGTTATTGTTGGTGTTTTTACTTGAATTGTCTATAGGTCTTGATTAGGAGCGATTCCTTGTACCTGTAGACTTTAAGCAATAAACCCTAAACCATAAATTGACAACCTTGACTGCACTGTGCGAACCTGGCAGCCACCATGGGTTGGCAGCGTGTAACACAAATGGTGACTGCATTGCTCCCATTGACTTCGACGACTCATCTTAACCTCAATCACAACTACAAACTAACATTCCAAATGATGGAGAAAAAATTTGGGAATTTTTTGGTACCTAGCAAGTAAGTTTTCATGGCAAGCAAAGAAAGTTATGAACGTTTATGGTTTCTCGTAGACATAGCATAGGATCCTCTTCAACGGCTCTTCACTTTGAACCTTATGCTACATATGTCTACGAGGAACCACAAACGTTCATAACTTTCTGCTACCATAGCTACTATATGTAAAAAATTCCCTGATTTTTTCCCACCATTTGGAACATAAGTTTGTAGGTTCGGTTGAGGTTTTTTGCGAGTGTGAGTGCCAACTTACTTTAACGTTACGTCAATGGCAGCAATGCAGTCAACCGTTTATTATACGCTGCCAGCCCATGTGAACTGACAGGTTCACACACTGCGTCTGTCAAATTATGTAAGGCAAAACGCGTCTATTAATTTAAGGGACACTTGCCTCGTACTAGTTGTACGAATTCGGATAGAAGTGCACCAATTCAGTATTTCTCCCGATCGCACTGTACCTATATTCAGCGATTTATAAAGAAGCATGGTCATCTACTGAAAACCTTGCATAAAATCCTTAGAAGTATGTGCAGTTTTAATTTTAAAGATTTCGTAAATAGGCCGATTGCAGTAATACAATGATTCTTATTACTTTTTTTCACGAATTTACAGCGAATTAAAAAGGTAGCGAAATAATTTTAGTACTGTAACTAATTAAAAAAAATATGTGAGGAATGCGAAATAAATCATTTATGTTTTTAATAAGTGAGTACAATCAAAGAAGAATTACTGAGGCTGATTTCAAGGTAAACTCGTGACAGTTCACCACAAACTTTGCATTTTAAGATGGACATACATAATACCGAATTAACAGTCGCAATTTAATGTTGCATTCAGTAGTACCCGAACCTGCAAGTACTTCCACTAGATGTAACCGGGGGAAGTTGTGCTTCTTCAACTGCTGTCAGGGAACCGCCTTCCCCCATTTGTACACCAGGCCCGTACGACGTCACATCCACCTCCAGAGTGCAGGTCTCGAACTGCACAACGGTGGGCGTGACGGCGATACTGTAGCAGGGATTTCCATTGGTGGACAGCGTTACACCACTGCCAACCGGCGGCGTCTGGATGCCAATATAGCTACAGGGCGACGATGTACTGTCACTATCAACTACCGTACCAACAACAGCCCTACGGACACGGGTCACTGCATCATCGACAGTAGCACCCGACGTCGGCTGGTTGACAGCTAACAGTGCTTTAGGCACTTCCGGCTCCTTAAATCCATATACACCGTCTACTGTCACAGTGCTGTAGCTTGTAACCACGGTGAGTATGAACATGGAATTGACAACGGTTTCCGTGAGGGTGGTTGAAAGTGTAAGGCAAGGCGGCACGCACACCGTGGGCGAACAGGTTGTCACGGTCTCGGTGATCTTTCGCCAGCGCGTGCTGATGTGACAAGTAGATGGCGCTGCGGTGCTGGAACTGCTGGTAGGCGTGGGTTGGATGCAACGGCTGCAGGTGCTCTTCGGAGTGTACACGTGCTGGCCGCGCCATCGTGCTGGTCCGTCACCGGATCCGGGAGCGGCGTAATACGGCGAGGTCGTCGGCGTCCACTGGGGGATTTTTAATGGGACTTTTGCGGGTTGGTGGGGAGCGTAGTAGGCGTTACCCAGTGCCATTCCTGGCTGAATGCGATAATCGTCCACATTTTCTCTGTATCGGGGCATTATGTTGGACTGGCCACCCTAGGAAGTCATTTGACTTTATTCAAAGGCGAAAAAGAAGCCGGTGGAATGCTCCGAAGTCTTAACTTAAGCAAATCGCTGAGTTTTAAAACTTGGACATTATGGTCAACAACGTACTGAATGCGCAATCTGGGCAACTGCTGCGAAGAGAAAAAGTGTTTCGCTTCGAGATGTCATCGTTTTACCGGATGCTTACTACGGAGATACCAAATGCCACAATGAAAAGAGAAACTTAGAGAAAGACGCACACTTGCAGTAAAAAAATTCAAGAAAACGGCACAACAGTAAATACAGCAATTCGGAGCCGCTAATAACGGGAGAATAGTGTAGTTTTCCCGATAATTCGCTAATTATTGCTGTACAGAGTACGTAGTACAGATACTAGTACTATAGTCCTGCTGCTGGTGTGTTGCGTGACAAACAACATTATACACAAATTAAACCACATCTTCAGTGCTGTACATGTACAACCGTTCACAACCAGTACCGGTAGTTGCTCCTGCTGCAGTACGTCTTCTGACTCTTATCTAACAAGTTTTACCTAACCGTCAGGATCTGCTCTACTTCTCGGCAAATGGCAGGGGGCATGGAAAGCGACATATGTACTACTATACGTTAGTAATTGTCGAGTTACTCACGTTATACGTTAGTAATTGGACAATTTAATTGTACAGCGCTCGGCAAGTGGTGTACGTTAATTTTTGCTGCTGCCTCCTTATGGGGCATTTATTCGCAGAAATCATCCACAATGCCTCCTCGATGCCATCCATACGCGCTCGTTCAACTCAAACGAACAATCCAACGGCATGGAGAAAAAATCTTCAAAGTGGGACTGCGACACTTGTCGAGGCCGAAGATCAAACCGACGACGATTGCCTAGCTGTGTACAACGTTTGGGCGCACTGCGAACACAGCGGTGTTGGAGCACTAGCAGTATACTACTGTACCTTTCTCTCTGACTGTACTACTGTATGCTAGAATAGCGATCATGAATGTATCGCCGGTCGGCATCTCGATATCCGCGTATAGTAAATGAAACGAACAAAATTATAATAAAATTACAAAATTATTTATTTGATGGATTAGTACAATGCGGTTAGCGGTTCTGCAAATTTTCGAAAAAATTTGAATGGATATGATAATAATATTAATGATTCTGTTCTTCTTGCTTAATTTGCTTAATTAAATTCTTAATTTAATTTTTAATACCACTTGCATTCAGATACAGTCCGAGTATGAAGAACAATTTGACATTAAAGCAAAGTAACATTAAGTTTTAAAATTGATTGATTTTTTGTGATTAACGCAACACACACAACACACACGATTAAATTCATAATATTACATTTAATTTAATCAGTTGCATGCGCGACGGGGAGGAGTTACGACTGTAGCGTACGAAGTACGTACACGAACACCGTACAAGTTCAATATCGATTGCTTCTGTGGCAAATTAAACTGGAAGCCCTTTAGGATTCTCTGTTACACATCATAGCTAGACAGCATCCGTGTACAGAGATTTACCAATATGCGCCGATATATTCTACTCTAATCCAACGCGGAAGCACTCGGTCGCCTACATACAACCAGAGAGAGAGCGGCGGTTACGTCACTATGCAGCCATTACATCAGTCATAATTTTGACTCATCGGAAAAACATCTCCCAAATCGTCTGACACATTTTTCATGATTTTTTCCCGTCATATTATGGCTGTTGTCAACATGCAGCCAGCGTGAATGTTTTTCTTTTTTTCCATTGCCGTTTTATTAACGCCTCATTTACCTCACTGAAAATTCTCACACTTTTTGATCTGCCATTTAAGGATTTTATTTGGAATATTTTTTTACTTTCTTCTGCGTGTTTATTCACGTTTTTGGCGTCCACCATGGATTTAGACGCTCCTCCGCCATCATCGTCATCCGACCCACCCGAATCTAAACCCGAGGAATACATCATCCCCATCGCCATCCTCACGACAAATTTCCACGAGGAACTGGCGAAAACATCCGCAGATGATGCGGAGAGTGTGTGCGTGGTGCCCGATGTGGATACAGTGGGAGAACGGGGCGCCCCGAATCTTCCCGCATCAGTTGTGGATCTTCTCCCCTCCCCGTCATCCCCCTGTGATCAGGCCCCTGCAGTCGAGAGTCTTTCAGCAGAAAATCAGGAAACGACGGAGAAAGGGGAGGCAGGGGGGACGCCGAGGTCTCAGGGGGGTTCCCAGCTGCCTCCGGGATGTGTGATGCAGGAGTCGGTGTGTGGGGTGTTGCTGGAGGAGAGACTGATCTCCGTGATGAGACTGTGAAGGATCAGGAGGGCAGTGTGATAAAGGAGGTCGGGAGGGTGGAGAGTGTCGACGTGGGGGTTCCTGGATCCGGGGAGAGTGATGTGCCTGCGCCCAGTAAACCTCCTCGGTGAGTGACTAGGAAATTCATTTAGCAGCGTTATTATTGAATGTTAGGTCCAGTTAGGATGTTTTTTTTGACATCATTTTATTTTTGATTCTGTCATCGAAGTTTATTTTTTGTTTAATTTTGTAAGCATTTAATTTTGTAGTAAATTTTGTTAATTTTGTAAACGTATTTTTAATTTATTTTTTAATTTGATAGTCAGATTTCTTTATTTACGTGCACGAATAAGTATTGATTTTGTTTTTTCCGAATATAAATGAGTTTTGTTTTGTTATTTGCTGACATTTTGCTGCTAGGCAAATCCCAAATGAATTTTTCGCCGCGAATTTGGCCCGTTGACTGAATTATTTTAATCCAAGTGGTTTGATGGTTTTTGACTTGTTAAAAGCCAAGCTTTTGGAGTTCAAATCTGTTAAATTAGGTACAGTAAATTCAGTTACGTAAAGCAGTAAATACATAATTTAGGTTAAACTTTATATAACTACCTACAAAAAATCTGATAATTATACGAGTAGTTAAGTTACGCAAATTAAATTCTGGTTAATATATATTATCAGAAAGTTAAATTTATTACAGAATTAATATTTTGAAAAATCAGAACAATAATCAAATAAATTGAATTAGCATTTGCAGTTAAGTCTGCTTAATAAAATTTTAACAGCGTTCTAGATGACACGATGATTGTGAATAACAGCTTCAACGTAGAATAGTGGCTTGGATTCGACGAACCAATCGTTACCAAGGCCGAAAATACATCCGAAAATAATACAAAATCTACGTAGTTACGATAAGCACGCATATTCATTTTTTTTAATCAATCTTCTGAAAACCCGTTTGTTTAGTTAACTGAATTTGGGATGGGGTCAAATACGCTAATAATAAAATACTTGAAAACTCAAATGGCAAAAATCGTCAGTGATAAATTCCAGTTTTTTTATTGGTTATTGGAAAATTAATAAAGTCGTGATAACTGTATCGCATCAAATTCGCTAATAATACGAAGCCGCTGAAAATAAAATATCGCAGATTAACTCAAAATAACTGAATATTAAAATGATAAAATTCATTGATAAAATTCCGAAAATGAATCATATTTAAATTTTGTTTAATTAAATTCCACTGGTGAACAATCGATTTCTCGTTGTACCTACCTGACTAGCAGTGCGTAAAATATTTCCGTAAAATAACTGAAATTAAAATGGCAAAATTCGTTGATAAAATAACAAAAATTAATCGTAATTATTATTAAGTTGTTGAACTAAAACGCACTGCTGAACAATCAATTTCTCCTCGTACTTGTATCGGATTCAAATTCGCTAATAATACGAAATAACTAAAAATAAAATATCGGAAATTAACCTAAAATAACTGAAAATTAAAATGGCAAAATTCGTTGATAAAATTCCGAAAATAAATCATAATTAAATTTGATTTTTATTTGGCAACAGCCTGTACTCAATGACAAGAAGCCTTCGCAAATTTAAACTAATTAAAATGATTGAATTTTAAACATTGAAAAACATCCAAAATCGTTAGTATCATTACGAGCGCGCAGCGTGCCCAAAACGGCCGCTGCATTTCCTCTGACTACTGCCAGGCTTAAACGTTGTCTCAAAAAGGCCGTAGATCGAGGTTCCCCGGTTATAGTTCGCGGATCTTCCGGCCGACGAATCGAATCAGCTCCGCAAAAGACACTCCAAATGTCCCGAAAGTCTCGACTGCCAGAGGATAGAAGAGATATCCCAACTCTTCTACGAAATCGTATTTCCCGCGCTTACTGCTTTCCGCCATTTGGGCTACGCTCCCGGCTTTTCTCGAGCTAGCGTTCACGTGAGACACGGCCACGGTGTCCCAGCATTTGTTGAAATTAAATTAAATTTTGTTGAATTAAATTGCACTGGTGCAGTCGATTTCTCTTCGTGCTTGACTTGCAGTTGCAGTACGTATTCTCCGTTGTAGACACCCCCCGAGCAGTCTGGTCTTTCCCCCGCTCCCCTCGGAATCGCCCAGCCCGGCGTATCCCCTCTCCCCCGAGACGTCCATCTACCAGATCAAGTGGATCATCCTGGGGGAGGACGAGCAGCACGCGCCGGTGTCCCTGCCCATCGTCATGCAGAACAAGAACGGCCCCTGCCCCTTGATCAGTCTGGCCAACGTCCTGCTCCTTACCCGCCGCCTGCAGCTGCAGCCGGGCATCGAGTACCAGTCGGGGGAGAATCTGATGGCGCAGCTGGCCAGTCTCATCCTGGAGTCGATCCCGCGGACGGCCAGCGAGGAGGAGCTGCGCAATTACGAGCAGAATGTGCAGGATGCGCTGGCCATTCTGCCCAAACTGCAGACGGGCCTGGATATCAACGTCCGGTGAGTGTGTGCGGAGAAAAGGAGAATAGCCTTGGCAGACCGGCAGTTTCTGTCGCTTGTAAAACGTCATTATCTTTTTTTATTTCGCAGTAGAATTATGTTCGTTAAATTATTGGATGCTTATTAATTATTCTTTTATTTTTATTATGCTTTAATATTTTTCTTATTTTTTTATTTATTAATTATGGTTAACCATTGTTCGTCATAACAAAATTACAATTAAGGCTGTGACGATTAATTTACATTTTATCTTTAAATTTAAAAGGTAGTAACGTGGTAAATTTTGTGGTAGTAGGCCTGGTTGCAGCCGTGAAAATTATGGAATGAAATAAATCGACAGTAGTTACAGTAATAATAATCTATTTACAATCTGATGATTTTTATACTTTTAAAAAAAATTATTCTGTGTTACTTTAATAATTTTAGAATTCATTAGTACTCGTACTGGCCTAAGTTATTTACCGTAATTTTGATTAGGATTTATGATTAGAATCTGACTGTATCGACGTGGTTTTTTACTCACGGGCCACAATTCCAGAAAACTGTATCGTTTTATTAATTTTATACAGTTGTTGCTTTTTATCGCTGGAATTGTTTTTGCGATAATTCTGTCAGCTTGATTCTTTGCCGGCTGGCGGAATTATTTTCTGATTGACTGTAGGCTTTTTCCTTGTATGTCACAACAATTTTACTATCATCAGTTAAAAAATAAAATAGATAATAAATTTTATTTCATTATTTAACAAAGTCTGTTGCTCAGTGTGCAGCTTTGATTTGTAAATTTTCACGGCAATCGAGAAAAGTAAAACTATGAGACTCTTACTTACTGTTAGTTTCCTAGAACAAAACGGGGTGTGTGGCGATGATCGTAGTGTAGTGTATAACAGTGGGATATTGAACAAGCGGAATTTAAAAACGATACACGGATTACGCAAACAGTTGTGTTAGCAAACAGTCCTCACAGTTATTTTTGAGCAGACTTCTTGTTTTAAAGATGATAAGTTTTCTACCATATTTCAACCATATTTATTTTTTCTACGGATAACTTTTCTACCATACTGATAATTTGTCACTTCCGCTGCTGCAGATTTGCCGGACCGCGGCAGTACGAGTTCACGCAGGACACGTTGGTGTTCGACGTGCTGGATGTGCCGCTGGTGCACGGGTGGATTGTGGACAGCAATGATCCGGCCAAAACGGTCATCGATAAGTGCGGCAGCTACAATCATCTCGTCGAGTACATCATCAACGCCAAACAGACTCCCACGGAACACGTTGAGGTAGGCTACAGCTACATTTCCATCTCGCGCGGGTAAATCTTGGGATATAAGATATCTCTTATTCGATTAGTTTTTGTTATTTTTTCAATATGCTGTATAATTTTTAAAAGACGGTTATAATTACCGAAAATTCTGCTTAAATTTGTTTTTAATTATATGTTTGATCATGTGTCGCGCAACTTTGTTAAACCTGTGATGATTTTACGTTTTGACTTTTTCTGTCGTAATTTTGACGTTCTTTAAATCATCCGAAAACGCGCCGCTAATACCGAAATAATATTAATAAATACAATAAAGTAGTTAAAACATATAGTAGGTCTAAAATAATATGCTTAAAATTTTTCAAATGTAATGTTTATTTTTTTGATAAATATTGTAATGGTACTTGAGTAATTGTTGTCGTATTTTAAATACCAGTAGTTCTGGTAGCGAGAAGTTCGTGTTTTAATCATCGTAAGTTTGTACGTAGATCTTTTCAAATAAATTTGACTATCATTCCTCAAATATAAGAATAATCAAGTTAAAAATGTATTTTGAATAATAAATCTTTGTTGTTATTTTTACCAAGATTTTCCAGTTTTGTTTCTAGAGTTTAAATAAATAAAAAAATGATATAATGTACGCAGTGTGATTTGATTGAAAGTGTGCAGTGCATCGTAATGCTGCAGGAGGTGCTTCACGCGGAGGACTGGCTGGAGCGGACCGGTGGGCAGCTGACGTACGCCGGGTTGATCGCGCTGGTGGAGTGCCTGACGCCGAACGCCCTGTACGTGCTCTTCCGCAACAACCACTTCAGCACCATCGTCAAGCACAAGGACCAGATCTACGCGCTGGTAACCGACCAGGGTTATGCCGGGGAAGCCTCCTGCGTCTGGGAGCAGATCAGCAACATTGAAGGTCAGTGGATGAAGAAAGCTACTTGTATCTGAATTTTGTTACACACAGTCGTCAGTAGTCTGATCGAATGTTCTGCGTTGGGTGATATAAAAAGCGCCATTTCCGGAAGATTATAACGAACGTTTTCACTTTAAATTACCGTGCAACTTTTGCTGAATCCGCTGACCAGAATAATATTGCTGTTTTTGAATAATAATAAGAGAAAAGAAATTAACAACCGCTAAACAACTATCAGCGCCGTGCTGGTAATGGTTTTCTGTATAAGCCGTAGTGTAGTGCCACAACTAGGGTACCGTGTTTTCTCCTTGTGAGCGTTGTGTTGTTGTACAAAATTTCTCTGTGAGTGGTTTTGGGGGTTTCTCTTTTCAGTTATATTTTTTCCGAAATTTTGTTCTCTGTTTGCCATATTTTAAAATTTCACCTTGTCGAGTCGTCAAAATTCGCCCAAAATTCAGCGATACACCACTTCAATGCGTAAAAGCGCAATTTTTAAGAAATGTTGATAAAATTCATCCAGATAAATAATCAGGGAACGTTATTGCTTGCGTTGCACAGGTGATACGGATTTCTTCGACGCGAAGTTCCAGCTGCGCACCGTGGTGAAGGAGCCGCTATCCCCGACGGCCAGCCAGCAGATGGATGTGGATTTGCAGTTGGCGTTGTCGCTGCAGGAGCAGGAGGACGCCGTGGCCGCCGCCGCCACGGCGCTGCCCACCGCGCCGACCGATCTGCCCGTGGAGGAGGCCGGCAGTGAGAGTCTGTCGGACTACGAACTGGCGCAGCGCCTACAAGCCGAGGAGGAACGGATGGTGCAGCATCGGGTCAAAGTGCCGCGCAACAGCGACACCTATCCGCCCGGCAAAATGGTACGCATCGCATTGGTTTGATGGTCGGTGACGATAGTGTCAGTTATTGTAGTAGAGTGGCTGTAAAAAATCTGATCTACCAAACCACAGACTGAATAAATTACTTAAAATTTGCGATGGTTCCTTTTTTATGTTATTAAGATCTAGTGGTTTAGTTGTTTTAGTTTTCTATCACGGCATCAAGTGACGGGGGAAACAATTGCATAATTTCATTAACTTTCAGTTAGCTGAACGGAAATGAAGTTGGGATTTTTGTTAACGGTTTAATTTCAATTTGCTTAAACGGAATTAAACGGTATCAGCGATTTTGTACCTTGTCGTTTTGATGAGCTTGTCGATTGATCAGTTGACCTTGTCGTTTTCCTTCTCTGAAGTGGTTTTTTTATTTGACATTAATATTTAATGTTTTTTAGTTAAGTTTTAACTACGTGGAAAAGGTCTGCTTACCATTGTTAGACGAATATTGCGATAGGTATCTGTATACAAGCATTAAACATTATTCATTCGCACTCTAATATTTGTTCGTAAAAGTTTGTACAGGTTAGTTTCTATGTGCAGATGAGCGTCCTCCCGGAGTCGCAGAGCGCCCAGACCTTCCTGGACCACGACCGCGATCCCCGCCACCCCCACCACCACCGCGACACCCGCCCGCGCGGCCTCCCCACCTCGGCGTCGACCCTCGGAGGCCCCGCGCCCCCCTCCCCCGCCCCCCATCCCGGGGCGCACCACCACCCCGAGCCGCATCCCTCCGCGCGGGCGTTGCCGTTGCGGCGCGGCCACTCCGCCGCGGCGGACAGCGGCGGCGAGAGTAAAGCTAAAAACTGTGTTATTTCCTAAATGTCGCGTACCGGAGGAAAAAGAGAGAGTTTACATCATTATTCGGTGCAAATTGTGTCGGTTTTTTATACGGTTTGAAATTAAGTGGATTTTGTCTGGATGGGTGGTTTTTTTAGCAGTGTTTTTCGGGTGGAAAATGGAGGTGCTGTTCTTCTTTTTAGTCGCTTTGAAATGAATCGTAAGATTTGGTGTTTATATGTTCTTAACGTTTTATCTGATTATTGTCGGTTTCGTTCATTGTCAGGTGTTTTTACACAACGGACGGTGTCAGTTTTTTTTATTAAGTTGCATCAACTTGAATGGTCTTTGTAATACCGGTTATTTTTATCGGGAAATTAAAAATCGATATGCTGATTCGGCATAAGATGCGGCACACGTAACGGCAAAACTGACTCCAATAAAAATGCTAGCAATTTCATGTAAAAATGTTCTAACGTATGAAGCTTCTACGAAACTGACTATGACTATGAGTAAAGTGGGTTTCATGTTGTTACTGGTTTTGTCTATTACCACTACCACAATATTACGATTATTTTAAGATTATTACTATACGAGTAATCTTGCCATGTTTTTCAGCAAATACAGAGTACTGTCTGAAAGCTCAAGTACAAAGTATAAGAACCGAAACCCAAAAGGGTAACCGTTGCCGATGTTTTGCTATGTCCCTCATGGTTCGTTACCATTGGTTGTGCTTAACATTATTTTTTCGACTATCCCAAACAGCGGTGGTACGAGGATTATTCTGTGAAGGATGAGGGTCAGACCAAGCAGTGAGCAGTGTACAACTGGCGTAGTCCCTCTTTCATGGTGTGCAAGGCGTCCTGTCCACACTTTCCAGCCATTGCCGTCCCTTGCGGACCGTTCATGCGTTCCGCAACTAGCTCGAACCTCCTACAGGATCCCACGCAAAACGGTAGGACAGTACGTAGTATTATAAGTAAGCGTTCAAAGCATTTAGTAAGCTAGGAATTCCGTGCGCTATAATGCCGGAAATAAAAGTCATTTTCATTTACAACCTTACTTCTAAGCTGGTGACAAAAAGCGGTCGTTATGCGGCGCTGCTCAATGCTCAGTCAGTGGTCCAGTACCAACATTAGCATGCGTGTACGGTTTACCTACCGGCACAGTTTCTGATGGGCAATCGTCACATTTCCATGTGTCTCGTATTCATCATCCGGGCGCAGATGGCAACAGGACCTGAAGAGAATGCGATCCTTTACGTAGCAGTTGCCGGCCGCGTGTTGCATTTTTATGGCTCCGACGGTTGTATCGCAGATTCTGGCAAAGGCAATCTTCAGCTCCGACTCGTACCATCCCGCATCATTGTAGCCGACGCTGCGGTTAATAGTTATTGTAATAGTCGGGGCACCGGGTAAATACGTCCTTAATGCAGTAACCGGTATTATTGGCAGTTCTGCAAGAGAGCTCCTGTAAGTGCTGTCATGCGTTTTACGACAATTTACAAAACAGTATTTGTTTGAGAATATGCTGTTGTGGAGAAAACAAACCGGCAGTGTGCGTCGGCAATATGTCGGTTTGCTTCGATGAATTCCTCGGTGACTGGCTCGCTGTATGGTCCTGGTCTTACGTTCACTAGGCGAGCCATAGCCTGTTCGGCCTCTTCAACATACGCCCGGCACTGTGCATCTAGTTCCGCGCAGGTTTGGCGAGTGTGGTGTAAGCGACCACCGTGCAGAGAAACAGCGAGATTAATGGAAAAGTCCTGCAGTCCATTTACCTTTTTTTGAGTTCTACAACAAGCAACGGAAATGTTTATATCATTGTGCTACGAGCGAATACTTCAATAGGTATACTAATACTAGAAGTACAAAATTTAATAACGTTGTGCATGTAGCCAGCCAGCAGGAAAATTTACGGTACGACAGAAAAATGTAGAAAGTAAAACGGTAGCAACAGTTACGTCTGTCAGTTGTTAGCACAGCAACGAACACGACAATAAGTTACACCGGCAGCGTTCTTATTCCATAGTAACCAGAACGTAAAGTGCTGATAGCATCTATAAAACGAAACCTTTGGGCTTTGGATCATTTCTGTGATAGGATCAATGGGAGCTTTTATTTCAAGCGGTAGTTGAAATTGTGGTCCCAGATCCGGTGCACGAGGTAGGAGAAAGCGTATAAGTAAGTTACATATCTGATGTGCGATTTTTTTTACATTGCACCGCCGTAATGATTTTAAAACGAGGACACCACGAGCCAACAAAGTAACCACACGGTAACCCAGTTAACCTGTTACGAGGAATTCCTCATGGTATCGGTATTTCATTACATATCTTCTGCCACAAGCATTCTGCCGACTATTCCTGACAATATATCTCTGCAAGCAGCTTTCACGAAAGAATAAATCAGAAAATTTTATTACACTTCAAGGGATACTCCATCGTATCCCTTGAAGTGCAGTGAGCAAGTGGCTCACTGCTGACGTTAGCAACAGCCCATTTAACTAAGCTTTACTGATATTCAGTCTTCTCGCTCGACACAGATCGGCGTTTCTTTGAACTTGGCGTTGTATTAAGTATTGAAATAAATTTAAATATTAAGTTCTTGTTTGATGTTTATTTTATTAAAGGAAAAATCGATAATATTGTGCCTAAATAAAAACTGACTGTCGTGAGCTCCTATTCGTTGCGCTGGTCAGAAAACAGAGAAAGTGGGTCGGGACTCAGAACGTCACGCCGGATATAATACTTACTAGTAGCAGTAAGGCAAAACGACACTTGATATCGATACCATTACTGTACCTTTACATACCAGCAACACGTCTGTTGACTGGCAAAACCCTGTGCAAAAGAGCAGTCATTAAGTGGTTTTACCACTGAAGTTTTGAAGTAAACATTCAAAAATTCGTTTTAAGTTTTCGAAAAAATGCCGAACGTGGTTTTCATTCAAGAAACACCTGTAGGCTCTGCAAAAAATTAACAGTTCGAGAAAATGGAGGCAACTTCAAGTACTATAGAAGTACTAGTAACCACGATTTGGGTTGCATTATCAAATGTTGCACTACTCAAATGTCACACTGTCAAAAGTACAAAGTCAATTTAAACAATGAAGGGCGTATAACTGCGTGAACGCTTCCTTGATTGTATCCATAGCGTCATGTCCACATTTTATGGCCATTTCCTCGCCTTGGGTGCCATTCATGCGGAGCGTAGTAGCCTGAATATCCCTACAATAAAAGGATAGGGATAAAGAATAAAAACCATGTAAGATCAAAGAGCAACACTAGCATGGTAGAGTCATGTGAAACCGCCATCATTTCTCAACATCGGCAGTGGCCAGCAAGGACTTACCGGCAGGCATTGTGCCGCGCAGCGACGATAGTTCCATTTCTTTCGACCTTGCCATCCTCGCTGCGAACGAGACAGCAAGACCGAAAGTGTTCCGGGTCTTGTTGGGTGCAGTGTGTCACCGCACGAATCATTTGTACCGGTCCGACCGTCGTCTCGCAGAGTCTGGCGATGATCATCCGCAGCTCGGAGTCGTGCCGTGTAAAGCAGCGTATTTCGCAATCATCATAAAATCCGGGACAAAAGTCCAGTAGGTGTCTCAGGCAGTAGGCGTTCTCACTGACCTGTCTGCAATCAGATTTCCTTAGGTTTAAAATACTAAGCGGCACTAATATCTTTACTGCGTCTGTTACAGCCGCCGACCAAACACACCGGCAGTACGCCTCGCCAGCCAGGCGATACTCTTGAAGGATTTCCTCCGTAACGGGCCAGGTTGAGTTAGATCCGGGAGAGAGCGTCGCTAATTTCTCATATGCCGGGCCTTCTTTTGCTATGTAACCCCAGCATTTTTTATCCAGGTCGTAGCAGGTTTGGCTGAGCACGTTGTAAGCGAACAGCGAGGAAGAAATCACCAGAATTGCGGGTAAAATCGTGTAATCCATCCTGTTTACGATGACTGGCGGCTCGGCTATAATGTTTGTGATGGTTTTAATAGCGCTAAAAACGAGCAGGCGACTAGCAAATGTTTCGAAGTATGGCTCGCGCCACTGGAATCTGATATATCGTATGTAGAATTGTTTTCAAGCTGCAGCAGTTCTAATCTAAGTTGTGGATCGCTTGTACGATAAACTCTGGTAAAGCAGTACTGTCACTGCTACCCAGTACCGGTACTTATGCTTACTTGTGGCACCGGCGAAATGAACGCGACACTTCTGTCTGTAGATCGATTGTTTTGTAAAACTTGCACATTCATACCGGCAGTTTTCGGTGATTGGGTACTCAAGTTCGAAGGAAGGATGTGCGTGGTGGTAGGAAGACAAGAAGTCTATACTCTGTGGATTCTGTCAAAAAACAGAGTTGCCTACAGCTGTACACCTCTCTACGCTTTTTCGGGTTGGGTTTTTACGTAGTCTCAACAAGCCAGCTGTTGCACCTTTTCAGTTGGAAACTGAGTTTTCTACTGACCCAAGGTTACGATCGGTTTTAATCAGCGAGCAGAGTCTACAGATATTTTAACAGGTAAATAAATGATCTTTCCAATCATTTATTTTGTATGCCAGTTAAACTAGCTAAAATTTTTCTTGAAAAAATCTGCACTAAAATAAAGAGTGTTATGATCCATTGGCAAACTTATGGCAATAAGCCGAAAATAATTAAGCTGTTATTTATTGTCCGCTGTCGGCCTTGACGTTAGGGCTGCTTCATTTGCCGCAGCGGCGCCGGAAACGCTGCGCCCATGTGACGGCCTCAAATAGTACGACAAACGGCCTAACTCACGGAGAGATAAAATGCTGCACTGATTAATTGAATGTTACGCTGTCGTCAACATTGGGGTCAGTTCAAGCAGAGAATGGAATATAACTGCGTATGTGCCTCTTTCAAAGCGTTCACAGCGTCCTGCCCACATTTCCCGGCCATTTCTTGGGCGTCTGGACCGTTCATGCGTCCCATAACTTCCTGGATGGACCTACTATGCAGTCAGAAATATTAGTATCAACTTTAGAATACCCATGCGCAATTGTATCATAGTAAGCTGAATAGTGTTGAAAGCGTTAGTATCCGTTGTCGCCGGCACTGGAAAGAACCTACTGGCAGAAATTGCGGTGCGCGACGGGGGCGGTTGTATTTCGTTCAACATCTTGGCCATGCACGTGATGAGGCGCGCAGCAAGACCAGAACAGTGTCATGTCTTGTTTGGCACAGTGTTTTATTGCGCGGAAGAATTTTACCGGTTCGACTGTCGTTTCGCAGAGTCTGGCAAAGAAGGTCGCTCTCTCATATTCGTACCATGTGAAATAGCCTGCTTGGAAGGTATCGTAAAATCCGGGGCAGCGGTTGAACAGATCTCGCACACCTGAAGCGGTGTCGTTGGCATATCTACAGGTCAGTAAAATGTAAGCCCATATTGACCTTTGGATTTAATAGTTACTAAATTTAATAGTTATTTAATAGTTAATTACTTTAGATTTAATAGTCATTTAATAGTTCCTTTTACGACGCAATGCGATCAGCCGCCGCCGATAAAACCTGCTTACCGGCAATATGCGTCGCCACTGTCCCGGTGTTCTCGTAGGAATTCCTCCGTAAATGGCCATAATGATTTCGATCCAGGGGCGCGCTTCTCAGTCTTTTTCTTTTCAGTCCACTCTTTTCGAATGCTAATCCGGAGTTGCATGTCCAGTTGATCGCAGGTTGGATTAAGCACGGCATACGCAGAGAGCATGCCAGAAATGACCAGAAACAGTGCAAAAGTTTTGCAGTCCATTTTGTTGAAGGTTGAGTTGTAGCTGTAGAACTATAGATAGTTTAGTGTGCCTGGGGGGTTTAATAGCGATAGAAATGTGCATCATGCATGTGTGCGAGGAACGCTACGCCACATTTCATTTATGCCAGACGACTGAGAAGACATTCAAATGAAGATGGAAATCTGACTGTTTTGCCATGTCTGATGTAGAATTTCGTGATCGATGACTAATGTCGGCGATATCGCTTAGGGTATACCTAGCTTGTGGTAAAAGTTAATGTTTTCAAAAAACACGGTCAGAATAGTATTATACCGTATTTTTTTCGCCACACAGTATTATAACTTCACAAGAAACAGCTGCGGCTTCGCGTTTCTTTTATTCAACTGCCAGAATCAACAAATACCTCGGTTAGTCATTCACGTTGCGATGATCACTTGATAGTGGTGATAGGTAAGTCAGCCACTGAGTCAATTAGCGGATTTGCTTACTATGGACAGCAGTGGTAGCTGGGTAACTCACTCATCTTGAAATATTAAATGCGGTTCTTAGCTTTTGCAATTGCTTAGAAGAGTGGTCCTACCAAAATCGGACAGCCCGATAAGCTTACAATATTCACGTGTAACGTACTGTGCGTGATTTCACTCGTCCCGCGGGAGCGCGGAAAGCCACTGGCTATTGATGTGACCTGCGCGGACACACTCGCTTCCTCATATACCGACCGGACTTCCGTGAGGGTCGGGGGCAGTAGCGGAGTACGCGGAAAGGAAAAAAATGTCGAAACACGACTGACTACAACCAAAATACCATCTCACAGCTGCCGCCTTTGAGATTTACGGACGCTGGGGAGGCGAAACCATGTAACGTAGCGCGTTTCGCCGTTGTCGTAAAATCCAGGGCAACGGTTCAGCAAGTCTCGCAGGCAGTAGGCACTGTCATTGACCTGTCTGCATACCGCTCGTAAGACTGCCGCCGCCACTCATCGTGAATCATGATGGTTTATACGAATTTGCCCGCAATTCTGCTGATGTCTTGCTCGCTGCTGGCATATGCTGTGCTCGGCCGAACCTGCGAAGACCTGGATGACGAATGTTGGAATTACATAGCAAAAGGAGCTTCGGCATATACTATACAGTTATAGAGGCTCAATCCTGGATCGAACTCAACTTGGCCCGTTACAAAGGAAATCCTCCAAGAATCTCGTCTGGCTGGCAAACCATATTGCATGTTGGTTTCTTAGCGGTTGCAGCACAGGCAGTATTAGGATCGAGCCTCAGTTATTTTAAAAATGAGAAGGTTTTAATACGAGCTCGTGGTTAAGGGAGTAGCACAATAGTGTGGAATTTTAATTATGCCCTCGCGCCACTAGATTCTGATATACCGTATGCAGAACTGCCGGTTACAAGTTTTGTAAAATGTTCTTATCTAAGTTGTGAATCTCTGGTAGGAAAAAGTCTGGCTATACAGATAACAGGGCGCGGTCGGCTGATTTCGCCTGTGTGCAATGAGTAAGCAATATAAAGCATCCACTAATTTGGATGCAGTTACAGTCTGCGTTGGATAGACGCAGGATGCGTTTCTTACGTTTTATAGAAATATGAGCAGAAAGTAAAAACAAACTTTATTTTTTTCCAGTACTTTCACAAGAAAATCAAAGAATGCTGTTACTGCTTCTGACTACGGCCTCACATACTGACCCAAACTGACTCGCGCAGAGATAAAATGCCGCATTGAATAAATCGAATGTTACGCTGTCGAAAACACTGGGGTCAGTTCAAACAGTGAACGGGATATAACTCCGTATATGCCTTTTTAATAGCGTCCACAGCGTCCTGCCCACATTTCCCGGACATTTCCTGGCCTCTGGGGCCGCTTATGCGTCCCATTACTTTCTGGATAGTCCTAATAGAAAGTCAAATATATTCGTATCAACATTAGATCACCCATGTGCACTTATATCATACATAGTATGTTAAGTACTATTGAATGGGTCGGTATATCAATACAAGTATGTAATAGGCGGCACTCGATGGAAATGACCTACTGGCAGATTTTTCGGTGAGCGGTAGGGGCGGTTGCATTTCTCTCGACATCATGGTCCTCCAAGTAATTAGGCTCACAGCAAGCCCAAAACAGTCGCAAGCCATGTTTGGAGCAGTGTTTCACTGCACGAAAGAACTTTACTGGTCCGACTGTCGTTCCGCAGAGTCTGGCAAAGACCATCCGCATCTCAAAGTCGTACCATGTGAAGTAGTCGGCTAGCAGGTTACGCTGATCTTGAAATCCGGGACAACGGTTAAAGAGATCTTTCAGATATACGGCGCTTTCGTTAACCCGTCTGCAATTAATTAGGTATGTTACTTTGCGTAAGCTCGTATTAATCTTTAAAATGTGCAAGATTTAGAGAGAAATCTGCATATTATTTGCACGTATGATATCCGCCTTGTTTTCGCATGGCTTGTTGAGTGGCCTCTGGCCGTGACATAACTTGTGTATCTAAGGCGTTTGGTGCCCATTAGAAGCTCTGCGATACTGCCTGTCATTTGCAATCAGCAAAAAAACAATTTTCTTCCCGTTGTGCGGGGTGTTTTCTGCCCGGCGAGTAACCTTGCTCTGGATGTTTACGGCAATAAACCCCGACTGCCCCTGTTAACACTGGTTGTTGTTGTTCAGGGGAGACCTCACATGTACAAATAATACAGTAATTACTGCCCTTATTAGGACGCATGCTAACAGCCGCCAATAGTACTTTACCGGCAATATGCGTCGCCCCTGTCCCGGTATTCTTGAAGGGTTCCCTCCGTAACGGGCCATGTTGCATTAGATCCAGGAGCGAGCGTCTCCATTTTCACCACTTCAGGCCTTTCTTTTGCAAGGTGATCCCGGCATTGTTTGTGCAGTTCCTCACAGGCTGGACTTAGCGCGGCGTACGCAAAGAACGAGCAGGAAATCGCCAGAAACACTAGAAAAACTCTGTAATCCATTTTCTGTAGCAACGAGTTGTGGGTTTAGAGTGTCTGGTGATTTTAGTTGGGCTAGAAATGTGCATGGAGACGAAGAACGCGAGATTTTTCCTAGGCATATAAGTAGAACGATTAGATAATGTACAGATACTCAATTGCCGATGGATATCTGCTCCGATTTTGCGCTGATATATTTACAGTCCAGGAGTACTTTCCTTGTTAGTGTGTAGTGTAGTCACGGCAGGCAAAAAATCAGTTACCGTAGGCAGGCAAAAATCGATATCTGGTGTACGATTTTGTAGTGCGATGTCAAATGCCGATCAAGATAATTGTTACAGCATTACGAAGATTGTTGTTTCCAGAAAACACGGTTCGAACGGTATTTTTCAGGCAATATTAGCCAGACAGGCCGTCGATGCTGCAGCGACTGTTTTAATACAACGTTATGTAAACTGTAAACATTCTAATTTTCAGGCGCTAATGCAGCATAACAGTTTCTGCTCAGTAGTCCGCTGTAATCGAATACGGACTTTATTATACGGTAGACAAAACTTAATGCTGTATCTCCAAAGATTATGTAGTACTGTATGAAATTAAAGCGTGCAATTTACCGACGGGTTGTGAGTTTAGTGTGGCAAAGTTTGAAAAAACAAAAATTATGTAGAAAGTACGATAATTATAATTATGGCAGTCGATATGCTCGATCTTGTTTAAAACTTTAAAAATATTGCTGCGTTTCTTCAAAAGCAAACGGAGGATGTGATCATAACTGTTAGCCCAGGTTTATCAGTCCTATACAGTCACCAGACGGCAGCGCCACAGATAGTTTATTTGCTGCAACGGCGTCGGAAACGCTGGACCCAAGTTACGGACGCCGCGAAATCTTTAATGCCCAATTGCGATGCCATTTAAAGCGCGCAGGTCTGAATGGCCGTGACCGTCGGCTCTTCGTTACCGGCCGCGCGCTGATCGTCCATCCATTCTAGCAATCGTGTCTCCAGCAGCGGATACCGGGGAGTAGATTTCCGCACCCGCATAGCCATTAACTGTGAAGCGTCCAGTGACTTCAGTTTATCGTATTCCCTAAACGAAAAAAATTGCATTTATTATCATTTGTTTTTAAATGTACAAATAAGGGTATAAGCTTTGACAATGCATAGTATACTCTCAATATTGCTCTACGTCTCCTATGCAAACCGTGGCAGCGCGTGGGGGGATACTGGAGAAGCTGCTGACCGGAAGCGCGAGCAAGGTGCGTGAACGCGAGTGCGTTGGCCACCTCTGATCGCTCCAGCCGCACAGGCAACCTCTTTATTTTGGTTGTGTACAAGCAAAATGAACAGACAGAAAAAACAACAGGCAGGGGCGTGGCGGGCGGGAGAACAAAATCAGCGACGTTCTGAACAAGAACTGAGCTATCGTAAAATGAGCACTCTTGAGGCGAGCATGCGAAAAGCGCCACAAGACAGCTCGAAACGAGTGTGTGCAAAAGGCTACAGCCTACAGTAGACTCAACTGTGACTCTGACTTGATTCTGACCACTCAAACTCTGACTCTAACTACTCAAAGTCTGACTCTGACCGCTTAAAGTCTGACTCTGATGCTGAAGGTTTCTTAGGTTTTTTCTTAGGTTTCTTACGTTTTCCTTAGGTTTTTTAGGTTTTTTAGGTTTCTTAGGTTATTCTTAGGTCAGAGTGAGATTTTGTACAGTCAGAGTCAGAGTCAGAGTTTGGACAGTCAGAGTCAGACTTTGAGTAGTCAGAGTCAGAGTTTGAGGGCGGGCCACAACAAAGCACGCGGCCGCCACTGAGCCGTCAAAGCGTCCAAACGGCATCCGGTCTGAATGGTGAGCCGGCGGCGAAGGCTAGCAGGCATCGCCGACGTAGCATTAACCTCGGTTAACGCGTTTAATTGGCAGTAAAATGAGAATAGATAATTAGATGGTATTAGGCCTTAATTTAGGCGGAACCGACGTAATTTTTGCCTCTATAGTCTATGTACAGTGTAACGCAATCGATCTCCTTTTCACCGGTCGTGTTTAAGAAAATCGATAAAAACCGACCTGTGTCAGACTAGCGGTAGATTTACCCTGTCGAAAAGATGCTGATTTGTTGGCAACCAACCGTCAAGCTCTTATTTTGATCAAACGTAAATTTGTGTTTACCAGAGCCATCCGTGTTCCATCCTGCTGATTAAGTCAGCATTTACGCGAACAGGAATTATCTCAGCGTCGTCGTTTTGCTACCGTTGCCTGAACGCAATTAAAGAGGGAGCCAACCTTGCTTTGGTAACTTTCAGGTATAGGAGCGCACTCGTGCGATTGATACGACAGTACCTGCCGTGAAATCATCATTACGAAGCAAGGGAAATCCCCTCAACAATCTCTTCCTAGTATCGTTATCCTAAATTAGGAATGTTATATCTTTGCTGCGCCGCTAAGATTTACAAGGACATATCAATCCCGTTCTAATCTACCGCGGAGTGCAATTAATTTATTCTCTAACGGCAGCTCACCAAAAAATCCTTGATTGCCTCGTGAAAGTTTTCTAAAGTGCTGTTTAAGCACCTCTGTTCGATTCAAAATTAATGTCTATGCAGTGCTTCCTGGTGCATTTAGCTGTATAGATTATCGAAATATGTGAGGTCACCAGTATGGTGTTTTTCGGCAAACAGAATCGAGCGGCAGGGTCACGTGCTCGGTTCTTAGGCACTCGCACTGTCGCGCACACAAGCATGAATCATGGTAAAGAATACATAATCGGCTATCATCCAGAAAGTTGCATAGTTACGGTGCGTTCATCGCAAGCCGGTTAGAAAAGCAGGCAATGACGCAACAATTCCACGCAGCTGACATTTTCTGCTGGCAAGAAAGGGCAAAAAGTAGATGGAGCTTTGGGATGTCTACAGATCCCAAGCGGCTTTACGCTGCTGGCATTACGACGCCCGAGCTAAGGAAAACACACTATCTATAATATGTTGTATCATCTGCTTTAACGTTCACCACGATATCTTGATTTACGGACGTCCAAAGCTTCAAAAAGACGGATTATTACTGTTTTGTACAGATATGTGGTCGCTCTATACGATCTTGCTCCCGTCTTCGAGCATTTTCAGATCTGTTTTCGTACATTTGCTCATTAGACTTTGAAGGGGCCACAGTACTTTAAAAACGGTTTGCGAACGTAATAATTATGTTCAGATTGTGTAGATACTAGTACTCGTACTATGGCAATTTACAATGAGAAAACAATTTATGCTGTTTAAGGAGTTTTTACGCATAATTTTATCGATATTAAACCAAATAACGCCAACTTACTTGCACCACGCTGAAAAGCGCGCATGGCTGAGCTGATATTTCCTGGCAAACTGGCGCTGTGACATGGCGCGCCCGTATTACGCGTGTTCACGCCGGAACATATCCACATACTGGAGCTTCTGACACGGTGAATAGGCGTTGGTGCAGCGCTTTTTAGGATTGCTTGTCGGTGACATTGTGGACGATATCTGCGGTGCAGGCGAAACCGCCATCTGCATCCGCCCTAGCGGTGGTCGTAATGCTGTTGATTGCTGATGGTGATGCGACGACAACTGCGGCGGCTGAGCAGCTTTTTCCGCTGGACGGCGGCATTCGTCCTCGAATATTTCGTCTGAACATAGACAACGACCAACTTACCATTAGTCTTAAGGGCCAACTTACCATTAGTCTTTTCCCAAACAAGACTTTGTTGGTTAACCGGACAAAGTTGTGAGTGACAGAAATGATATGTTTTAAAAATTTAGTACTATCGACATTTTTAACTAAACATTAAGATAATATTATCTTAATTCTTAGTAGAACTGATCCTTTATACGTAAGTCCTTAGCGCTTGACCCGTGGACGACAAAGCGCCTTTTTTTAACATAAAGACCTTCAGTTCTGTCAGTTAATCAAATACATAATATACTCACCAAAAAGAGCGTGAATATCCGGCGGTTGAGAAACGGAGCCAGTATACTGTAACATGGGGTAGTGCAGACTCATAACTTGCTGGTGGCGATCCTCCAAATCAAATCCGGGAAAGGGGTGGTATCCGGAATCTATTCAGAGACACTAGATCATCTCCTCCGCCAGTAGCAGCTCCATAAAAAGTAATCCCGTAGTTTTGTCAGCAAATGACACCCTGCCACAAAAACAAACCTGCAGAAAACGGAACGGTAGACGTCATCATCGTGTTTAGCAGCCGGAAAGAGAGTTACTTGCAAAATTGGTGGGGTTTCGCGGCAAAAGTCTAGCTGCCTTCTGCGCTTATACGGTAGTTGGCAAGCGCATCTGATGAAGGACATCACTGAAAATTGCTGGAATACGAGAGGAGCGGTCCCTCTGTCTTCTGCGTCTCTCTAACTTTACCGTGGCAGCCAGCGGCTGTCTCGTACCGACAAGAAAGCCAGTTGGAGCCAGATTCATTGCAAAGCGCTCGTGCGGCACCGGCCTTCGATTACGTAAATTACAGGCAAACCGATACGGAGAAAGGTGCACACGTTCTTCAGTCGTGGGGATCAGTTGTCTCTGTAAAAATTTCATGTTCATGCAGCCATCCTTTTCTCCATAATTTCAATCAGCGACGTGGATGTAGAACAATTATGCATCGTCCAAGAACGAAAGACAGAGGAAACTGCTTTGAATATACAGCTTTTTATTTTTTTACGCATTTTTTTTCCTTGCGTCGTCTAATGTTATTGCAACACAGCAGGCAGTTTTTTTACTGAACCAATCTGACCAAAGCTTATTATGGGATTTAATTAAAGATTGTAGATATTTTTAACAGACACCACCATTTTCGCATTTGAATGCTTTCGCGTAACAAAAACTGTTCATGGGAAAAAACCTAGGCTGGGAATAATCAGTAAAACGCAGTGTCACACAATAATGATGTACAAACACCGTAAATGCAGTATGCAAATATGAACGAAGGACTAGGAAATACTGACACGTTTTTTCCTCAGATTGAGAGACACTAGAGTGCATATCAGTCAAAACTTCGGGGATGACGTCATTTAGACGCTGGCAAAATGATTGCTTCATTTGCCGCAGCGGCGCTGGAAACGCTGCACCCAGGTGATGGAGGCCGTAAAATTCCGGATGCCCAATTGCGTGGC